CCTTTAAAGTTCAATGCCAGAGCTTCAAATTTCGTCTGGTTAGACTAGATAGATGAAGAAATGTAAAAATCAAATTCATATATCAGCATCTATAATAGAACTCTGGAGAGAGCGATCCGAATTTCGTGAATTTCCAGGCAAAAATTCTCCAATTATTAAGGGTCTCCATGGGGGGTTCCAGAACTCCATAACAAAAAAGAGCTGGAGGGTTTTAATCATATGGCTGGTGATAGTTCCCCATACCTATCCTATGTACAAAATTTGAGCGGATTTGGCCGACCCCCATCTTCCGGCCACTGCCTGGTTTTCTCATGCAATGACTCTTAACACATGCACATTACCACCCTCTCGTTACCAAGGAAATTTACAGGAACTTAATGTGGCGACCATGTCTAATACAAAACACAACGTATGAGCTGCGACAATGACATTTCTGAACCAACATATTTTGCATTTAGAGTGAAACTTGAAAATGACAAACATAAGTGTTCATATCTAGCATGGCTCAGTTGACTAGTGTAAAGAAGACCATACTCGCATCTTAAATAAATCCTGTCAAGAAGGCCGTGAATTTAATGCAACAACTCACATTTCTGGCACAGTTTGTTCATGATGGAAAGTTAGAACCTATTTTTTCCTAGGCAAATGTAATCAAAACTGTGCAGACTGAAGACTGACATCTATCACAGCTCAACAAAATCAAACACATTACACAAATGTGAAAAATACTTTCAAATTGGTATTATCTGAACAATTTTCTAAATCACAAACAATATAATGGGAATGTACAATTTCAATCTGGGCCTACTGTAGGCATCTGAATTTTTGAGTGAAGTTTGAGTGTCCCCATATTTGCGAGAGACAGTAGAAAGGATTGGGAGAGTTAGCACAGCACACCACAGATAAAGCAGCTTCCCATATTGTACAGGCCTTAAGAGAAGTATCTACACCTATGCATAGCCTTTATAATGATGTCATGCCGCGGGGGCGGGTCTTTGTCCTGTGTCCTCAATGTCCAGTTTGTGGTGTTCGAGGTGTGTATTGTCTTCATCATTGTTTTGATGATTTTCCTCGTTACCAACTTCATGTTCTTCAACCTGGTCTCCAGGTTTCCCAATAGCCTGGTCTCCAGGTTTCTTAACAGCTTGGTTTCCAGGGTTCCCCATAGCCTGCTCTCCTGGTTTCTCAATAGCCTGGTCTCCAGGCTTCCCATTGGCTAGATCTGCAGGATGGACCATTCCTAGGTTTTCGTTCTTTCCTCCATCTTGATCATGATTTTGTACTACTGGTATGTTGACAGCAGCATCAGCATTCTCCCCTCCAGAGTCATCTGGGGACACATGCAGAGGGACAGCAGCTATTACCATGGGCAGCATGACAGCACATTGCACATGTACAGTAACTACCAGTAGTCAAATGCTGCTGAGCCATTCGTGTTCATGGCGTCAAGAGAATAGCTCAGCCATGCTTAGGCAGGTTTTCACATTTAATTTCATATGAAATTGATAGAATTGATCAAAATAAAATAGTTGCACAGCTCTGTATGGCTGTGACATACAAAGCATTTTTCACATTGATTGACTTGGTGTCCATGCATTTCTAGCATGCGACTGCAATTTGTAAGACATGCCACCTTTTTCTTTTATCGTAGCAAGAAATCTTTACGTACTGTCTGCTGATTTATCTAGCGGGGCATCCTTCAGACCAAGGTCAAGAAGCTGCTGGTTTGCATCCCTTTCAACTCTGGTCTTGGGAACCTTACTCTTCCCTGCTGCCTGCACCCTGGCCATGGGGTCAGCGGCCTGAGGGTCAATGACCCTCCTGATAACAGGGTGGGTTGACCTGATGGGGCCCATGTCATGCAAGCGAGAGACAGGAACCCGGGGCACATGATGAAGCTCTTGGAGGGTTTGGTCCAAGTCTACATTTAGAGAGAGAAGAGAGGAAGATCAGACCAGCATGGTAGGATGCCCAAAGCCACCACTACAGGAACAAAACATAAGACTAGTTAGTGTTAGTAGCAAGGAATAAAAGTGCTCACCATTACTCAACAAAGGAAACAAAACACACTATAAATAAGGTAGTTATTATTCATTAGTGTCTAAGGTTTGCTGGAGTATGGTAGGTGAATAGCACTACTTTTACTTTTAGCACAATAACGATCACAATCAGACAGATAGAAGCACACTTTAAAAATGATGTTTGTTTTTCAATGTTGGTTCATCAAAGGGATTTTCTTCACAAGATAACAAGAAATCAGAGATTTCAGACTTTGGCTGCAAGGAGAGAGAAGCTGGCCCACCCAATAACAGTAGCAACAGTTCGAGTATGGTCAACAACATCAACTCCGCTTTTGATGAAGACACCTCCTGGCAAGGGCAGGCTGCCAATTTGGAGGACTTCCATGTGACCACTTTCCAACTAACCCATAATCAAGGTGGGGTGACTTGACTCGATGAAAAAAATCAACCATGTCGATGTACACCTGCGAAAGTTGCCAGCATGATAGATGTTCCAGTTACATGTACCCATGCCTTTCAAGAAGCAGCAATCGCTCATGCGCCTGGGCTCTTTTGGCTGAGGAGACCAAGCAGACATTTTCAGCAGAAACAGGAGAAAACACGGGTCCTTTCCTAAGATCTGGAGTCTAGCACAGTTGAAGCAATGGAGGCACTTTCACAGAAGACAGTGGGACCAAACCTCTAGCTATTGCTATATGGAGAAGGACATGCTCACAGAGTAGTATGTAGCATCAATATGGATTCTTACAGTTGATAACACACGTAAACCTTCTGTTCACCGTCAAATTAATGTGTGGTCTTTTGACTCCTCAGAGAATTTAATATCTAGTTGCTTGATTTATTTTGTATTAGGTAATGTTCTAGCTGGGCGACTACCCTTCCATGTAAACCCACTAGTTCTTCTGTGTTACTTCAACTCAAATGAGCATTTCTACTGACCTTGCACGATGTTGTGGTAGGCAAAGTGCAGGTACAGGAGAAAGAGAAGATGAAGAGCTGCACAGGTTCCTGCCAAGGCAAGTCTCTGGGTCTGTCCTGAAGTCCTGGACATGTACACCAAAACCTGCAGAGAACAAACGTGCAAAACACATCAAAAACAGGAAACCAGAGATTTCATACCTTAGTGAAATATTCAGAATTGTTATTAAAGATCTAGAGATCATAATATGCCTGATGGACAAGATGCCTACAGGATGTACCAAACTGCTGTCACTCACCATTTTGACAGTAGAGAGTCCTCCAAAGACGGCCCACATGAGGTAGAACATGGAGTGGGAACTGACAGAGTGGAAGGCTGTTCCCAGGAACAGCACCACACAGTGGGCCACAAGTGCATATCCCTGCAACAACAACATAGCCATCATGTTAAAGCAACTGGAGTATTTTCCATTTACTGAAACATTTAATGAAAACTAGTGAAATGGAGATTGCAAATTTTACCGAATAGGAGCTGTGGTCATTTTTCATTTTGGGGAAAAATAGAAGTTAGAGCATTTCAGATAACCAATAAATTGTTTAAATGGGAGTGGCGTGACATGTATAGGTGAAATGTACAGTTTGTACTTACTGTGAGTGACAGGACCTGAATGGCAGCTATGTGTGAGTTACAGATGTATGCGATGAAGTACAGCAGTGCTGAGGTCCCCCACCAGTACCCAAAGCACACAAAGAAGGCAGTCCCCATCAGTGTGCCTTCTCTCTGAGACAACAAAGATCATGGTTAGACATCGGGTATTGTTTTGCAATATCTGCAATGCACTGCATACCAGGATTGCAAGTCGATGAATAAACTTAAAGGCCTTTCACAATGTATACATTGTAAAAAAATTGCTATGTGTTCAGATGTTCAGTATCTGCTCTACTTACCACAGTGTGCCCAGAAGACTTCATGTTGTAGAGGAGCACTGCTATCAGGGTGAAGACAATCATCAGGGGTCCATACAGCTCACTGGCAACTTTCTACACAAACAAACAAGAAATCAGAGAGTTAAGTCCAGGAGAATTGACCTTAGATCATTGCCAGTAGTTGGTTCTGTTGCCACCTGCTCGAAAATCCCACAATATAAAAATCACACAGTGACCTACCATAAATGTGACCAATGCAATAACAGTGCTTATGTGAGAGATATCATATACAGATAAAAACACAAGTGGTTTAAACGTACCTGCGGGACAGAAATGACTCTCGATGGGATAAAAGTGTGCAGTAACCTGTAAAAACACAATAATGACATCAACAGGAATTAGGATAAGTTAATAAGAGAATCTGAGAAACAATAACAATATTCCCCAAATCCCCAAAATCAGTAAAATTTATACTTCATATCAAATCAGTCCATCACAACAGACGATAAGGTTAAGTTAGAAAATTCCATGACAGAATGTGTTCCAACCTTTTCATGACTTTCCTTGGTTCCACGTCAAAGTACGGTCTCAGGATGTCGATGTTTGCATAAAGGTTGAAGGCTTTCTTGGCCTGCTGTGAGCCGGTCTTCCACACCTGGGGGATTAAAGAAGAAAAACACTTATTTTCTGTGACTAAAGCAGCAAGTTGTCTGAACTTCACTAAGGTCTTTCCTGTTCAAAAGACAGCTGAAAATTTACTCAGAATGAATTTCCTAGGGGACATATAATTCAATCAATGATCAATCGTACTACTGGACCAAAAAAAAACAACATTTTTTCAGGACTATAATCGGAAACTCCACATTAATGTCTATAGGCCTGACCTGTTCTGCCATTGACTGCCCCAAGGCGCCTGTCAGGCCCTTGGCCAGGGACGGGTCTCCCTCATCTGATGTGTCACTGGTTGCTCTTTCACGCTTTCGCACGTCCACGAACTCATCTCCGCTGCTGGCAATGCTGATGTCATCATCCAACCCTGCTCCGTCCTCCAGGGTACTCATGTCTATCACCGCAGATGCCTCACTCTGGTTCTGTCATAACAACAAATCAGAAATTTCAGACTTCTGGAAAGTATCTTTAATGGCATTTTTGTCACCTTCAAGTTCACCTCCCATTTCCTACACTTGACCTTTGACCTCCTTTTATTCTGCCTATCATTCTTTCCCACCCACTTGCTGTCAAGTTAACCAACTCAAGCTCATCCCATTTCCTGCGTCTGGTCTTTTGACAAATCACAAATCAAATGACACTGACAGTAATAAATAATCTACATGTTACTCATGTCTCTCAAAAAGGTGTTAATTTTCTCCAGACCTAGCTCTTGCTAATGCACCAACAGGTTTATTTCAAATTTTCTATGCAAACAAATTGGGGGAATAATTTTGGGGGCCTTTCTCATGTTAATGTGTGAAGAACTTTGTCTGTAAAACTGGAATCGCCTATAGCCTACTACTCCTAGTGACGATTAAATCCAGCTGAACATTCCACTGACAGACGTGACATGTGCAGTCAATCAAGAGGCAGTCTGCAGTACTGTTAGTGCTATGAACCACCGACATGGGCTTAATTTTCGTGGTTTAAGAGGAGAGACAACGTTTGAATACAGATTATGGTATAATTTCAAAACAGAAATTATCCTTGGAAAATAAATATGTGTCTTTTGAGTTCGAATTTCCTATCTGTATTTGTGACTTGTGAAAGCTCTTGCTAATGTTATATGTACTTACATATACCAAGTATTATCGTAAATAAACTGGATAATGAACCTTTTCTCCTGGCAGGACGAATAGATGTAAATAAACCGGAAAAAATAAACTAAACTCCACGTCACAACCTCACCTGCTGAAACGACGCCATCTTGCCGGAATCTCACACCGGATATTTTGACACAGATTACTTCCGGGTTAACTCCCATCATGCATCTTACACAACCCTCCGAAATGGCGGCTTTTCCCAAGAAATTGAAATTTCTTTCCTGCGTATGATTTTGGTCTTTCGATTGGCCGAAGAAGAGGATTGGTGCAATGATCTTTGAGGAAGAGAGGGGTACAGGTTTATTGTTTTTCAAAGTTTTCTTTTATGAGAATCGTGCGTTCCTTTGCAACGGTTTGGGGGAGGGGGGCCGAACGTACGCCGAGGTGTTACAGTAAGACAACAAGAACAGCACATCTAATCATCTCTTTTTCTACCTCCATGATCTTATAAAGATTAGGACCTTGATCTATTAATAAATAGATAAGAGTAGAGTAGAGTTGTTTTATAACGTTCAGGTAATACAATGTTCATGTGTAGTGCTGCTAGGTCGGTCTGCCTATTTACCGGAATACACCGGAAAACACAGTTAAACACCGGAAAACACATATAGGAGGCTAAAATCTACCGGAATACACCCTGCTTAGACGAGATAACATCCCAAATTGCTGTGTTTTGCCATTAAATAGCGTGTAAATCGCCGCAGGAACCCGGCAACAAGAAATCATTATAATTTAGCGATCGGTGGAGGCGACCCGACCAGTCGCCATGTTTGTTTACATTGCGGACTACGATGTTTGTTTAGCGCCATCACAGAAGAGAATTGATTATTCAGATTGATGCGGTTCCCATACACAGTGCACACAACGCCGAACTAGTTGGAAGAAAGATAGTTGCATAGGATGCCCGTGAATGATTGCTACGAGGTCGGTCTGTTGGATAAAAGCGCAAAAATCCGACGATAAAACTGCCAGACATTTTCCGGAAGCAACGCAAATCGAAGGTCAATGACCCGCACAGAGCGAGTGCGTGTGTCAGCGAGCGGCGGCATTTGATAATTTCCTGCAAAGCTTGACACTGAAATTTCATCTGATTTTGCCGAGGACAGCCCTGAAGTTTTATCGTAGTCGATCTAAAACATAATCGCCAGGATCTGAACATGTTCTCTTCAGCAATATTTAGGCGATCGCGAATCGCTCATGAGCGTCAGGGTACGCTGACTTCGGCACCATTCGATCATGAAATGAATAAAGAACACCAAATACACCAAAAATCCATTTGAAAGTTTATAGTCCTCGGTTTATTCAGATTCGTGTGATTCTAATAAACAGCTCACATAAATACGAACTAGTTAAAAGACTGATAGTTCCATGGATTCCTGTGTATGACATACAAACAAAAATCGGACGCTAAAACACTCAGCCGCCGGAACAACGCAAGCCGAAGGTTACCCTGGGTGCCAAACTCGTTCTTCGAGCGGCAAGAGCCTTTCGCCCGCCGGTCTAAATTACTGCTACGGGGGAGTCTAGCCCGGGGGGAGTTTGGCCGCCCTCCAAACGAAGTTGGAAGGCCGATATACTCCTCTGCGGGCGAAGTACCCTGGCTGCCGAAAAAAACGGTTAGCGGCCTGTAAACTTGGCTGGCACCCAGGGTAGCCGAAGGTCAATGACCTGCGCCCGGCTAGTAAACAAACTCGGTCGAACACGTAACGTGTTACATCGGCGCACCACAGCATCAACAATTTGCACGAAATTGTGACCAGAGTACTTCGCTGATGCAACCACTAAAGTTTGAACTCTATGGTAAAAGTAGCAAAGTTTGATATTGTGACTGTTTGAGAAATAAAACTGAATCTAGTGATACATTTTGGGGCGAGTACTTTTCCCACAGCGTGGATTCACGTACATGTACTTGATTGACAGGCGTTTCCCTTTGAAGAAGTTGCCGCCGGGCGCCGCTGGCGCCGAGTAGTCTAGACGGGCGGCTCCAATCAGTTTCGTCCATCTTCGTTACAAACACGATCTGCACCGACTATAACCGAGCCTCTGTGATTGGTATCCGAAGAATCTCGAAAATTGCCGAATATAAAGAAGATTGTTCTCCAGCGTTTGTTTGTATACAGTGCGGAGAGCATTCAGACTAGGCATAAAGGGACTGGTGTTTCCGCACAAAACCAATCGTTTTTCTACTCCAATCGCCTGTTGACACGACACATGAAGTCTTTCACTATATAGCTTTCATTATATAGCTGAAGTAGTCTTCTTGATTGTGAAAGAATTGATGATATTTGCTACTGGAAATTCGACAACAAACATGATTGTCACTGAGAAAAAGTGACGGATAAAGCCGGCTGCTAAGTAAACAAACATGGCGTCTGGCCGGGTCGACTCCGCCGATTCATAGTGATTTCTTGTTCCCAACGTCATATAACAAAGTCATATACAACTTATTTCATGCCAGAATGTAGCAACTTGCGGTACCTGCACCAAAGACCTCTTCATTTCGGTAAATTTCACTTCTGTACGGCGATCGCGTTAAACAAACATTTCGTAGTCGGCAATGTAAACAAACATGGCGACTGGTCGGCTCGCCTCCGCGATCGCCGATCGCCAATTCATAACGATTTCTTGTTCCCACGGCGATATACACGTTACTTCATGTCAAAATACAGCAATTCGGTATGTTATCTCATCATATCAGGGTGTATTCCGGTAGATTTTAGCCTCCTATATGTGTTTTCCGGTGTTTAACTGTGTTTTCCGGTGTATTCCGGTAAATAGGCAGACCCCTGCTAGGTAGGTGCAGAAGATCTGTATAATTTGATTTGATCAAGGAGGTTCAAAAAGAATGACTTTAATAAATACCCTCAGAGGTCCTGCTGTGGTTAATCTCGGTGTTTGTTTTGGGGATTTGGGGACCAGCCTGGCAGGTGAGTGAGTTGGGAAGTGGCTTCCTTTATATATATAGTCGTCACGGCTGTAAGTCCCGGTAGACATGGTCGATACCCTCTAACAGCCAACTTACCTTTTTTTCTGCGGTACTTGTAGATCTGGCCAGTTAACTACAATAAGAATCATGGCACAAGTCCCAGAGGATTATCCCATGGATGTGGATGTTGATGACCAGAGCACCCATGATGATGACACCCCACAGGGACACAGCAGGAGAACTGTCATCCAGTCCACATCCTCCCAACCTGGACCAGCCTCCCAGTCCTTACTGGACAATCCTGATGTCATCGCCGTGGATGAGACAGATGAAGAGGATGTGGGTAGTAGTGCCAGTGAAAGGTCCATTGAGCTGGTGAGAGACAGTGACAGTGATGATGTGATTGAGGTAGATGGTGGAGAGGAGGAGGGTGAACATGATGAAGATGATGAGGATGAGACTGATGTTGAGGATGATGATGATGATGAACAGGGCAGTGTAGACAGAAGAGACGAGCCAGATGCTGGTGATAGAGAAGAGGAGACACAGGTAAACAAAAATGCACATAAAACTAGAAAGGCCGACATTTGCTTGGGAGCAAATACAGCATATTTCAGTCCAATATTGAATGTGTGGGTCATTGCGCATGACGTACGTGCAACGTGACCCCAGGTAACCCATGGGCGATAGGCCACCGAGTTTTTGTTGAGATCGTTGTTACTTTATTTAAATATATACTTAGGTAACTGAACAACAAGTTCACTGTGCAGTGCACTCCGTGCAAGATTCCCGAGAATCATACCCTGAACACATAACACCGTTCAAGCATGGTCCGTTGAAAGATTCCTGAGTATACTCAACACAACACACCGTGAACACAGTCCGTTGAAAAATTCCCGAGAATTCTCCATACCCATACATAATTTATATAACACATACTGCAAATGGGTACTTCATGATCATCGGCTGAATCACACAATAAAAAGCACACTCATTACTTAGCTGTTACTTCCGGATCGGCGTTCTGGTTACTAGTATATAGAGGTACCAGTAGATAGTGCAAAGGCTGACAGGAGTAGAACTGGTTTCACAGTTATTCAAACGCGTTCGCAAAACCGCTGCTCGAATCGCTAGAACCCCAAGACGGGGCTAGCGCTAGCAATGATAACTTCAAAAAGATGACAGGGTAGAAAACACCCACCTGTGAACTGCGTTACCAACTGGGGTGGCAGCAAAAAAGTGACTTAGATTTTAGAATCACATTCGGTGTGAAGTCCCTGCCTCCCCAGACTCAGAGGACAATGATATCTTACACGCTAGAGACATTGGGCACAACTATACTTTCCAAATCTCGTGCCTGGGAGACATAGGTAGGACTGAAAACATGTCGGTGGGGTTTGTGGACGTGTTTAGAGCAGCCTGGCAGTACATGTATACATACATGTGTAGCATGTCTTATGATGTAGCCTTTCTGTGCATCTCCATTTTTTAGAACCGCGCGGGAAATGTTGGCGCCTACCGTGTGTCTGATTGGCTAGCGGTGATGTCATTGTCTTGTGCAGCAGCGACCTTAGCGGCCAGTCATGGTACTACTGGTAACGCAGTTCGCCGGAAATCGGACTTTGCAAAATGGTTAATATCTTCTTTAAAATATGGTATCGTAACCCAAGAAAGTTTACATGGCTACTTAGCTACCCCTAGATTATAGATAGTATCAAGACTTTTATTTTCCTTGTGGCATTTTGCAGAAAATAGGTTCTTTTGACATGGCATTTGGCACCTAGTGAGAGCTAGTACATAGTATCTAACCAAGCTAAAGCGTTCGGAAGTCGCCGTTCGGCTCTCGGCAATCTTTGGTATATGTTCGTATGGTTCTTTAGAATCCTCGTCAGGTTGTAGACCGAGTTCACAGTTCGTGTTGAGTGTATGATTCTCGGGAATCTTTCAACGGACCGAGCTCACGGTGTTTGGCAGATTGTATGATTCTCGGGAATCTTTCAAAGGATTATGTTCATTCCTGTGTGGGAATGAACTACAAGTGGGGGCAAGATCAGGGAAGGCTAGGAGAGGGGCAGGATCAGGGAGGGCTACGAGAGGGGCAGGATGAGGGAGGGCTACGAGTGGGAGCAGGATCAGGGAGGGCTACCAGTGGGGGCAGGATCAGGGAGGGCTTCAAGTGTGGGGAGGATCAGGGAGGGCTACGAGTGGGGGCAGGATCAGGGAGGGCCACCAGTGGGGGCAGGATCAGGGTCAGGGCTACGAGTGGGGGCAGGATCAGGGAGGGCTACGAGAGGCTAACTTCAAAAAGATGACAGGGTAGGAAACACCCACCCGTAAACTGCTTTACCAACTTGGCATGGGTGGCAGCAAAAAAGTGACTTAGAATCACGTTCGGTGTGAAGTCCCTTCCTCCCCAGACTCAGAGGACAAAGATATCGTACATCTAGAGATATTGGGCACAACTACACTTTCACATCACGTGCCTGGGAGACATACTGTATGTAGGACTGAAAACATGTCGGTGGGGTTTGTTGACGTGTTTAGAGCAGCCTGGCAGTACATGTAAACATAGCATGTCGTATGATGTAGCCTTTCTGTGCGTCTCCATTTTTAGAACTGCGAGGGAAATGTTGGCGACTACCGTGCTTCTGATTGGCTAGCGGTTATGTCATTGTTTTGTGCAGCAGCGACCTTAGCGGCCAGTCATGGTACTGCTGGTAACGCAGTTCGCTGGAAATCGGACTTTACAAAATGCTTAATATCTTCTTTAAAATATGGTATCGTAACCCAAGAAAGTTTGCAACGCTACTTACTAGTAGCTACCCCTAAGTTATATCAAGACTTTTATTTTCCTTGTGGCATTTCGCAGAAAATAGGATCTTTTCAAATGGCATTTCGCATCTAGTGTATACTAGTACTTAGTACCTAACCAAGCTAAAGCGTTCGGAAGTCGCCGTTTGGCTCTCGGCAATCTTCGGTATATGTTTGTATGGTTCTTTAGAATCCTCGTCAGGTTGTAGACGAGTTCACAGTGTGTATTGAGTGTATGATTCTCAGGAATCTTTCAACGGACCGTGTTCACAATGTTTGTGTTCGCAGTGACTGTGTATAACTCTCGGGATTCGGGAATCTTTCAATGGACCGAGCTCACGGTGTTTGTCAGAGTGTATGATTGTTGGGAATCTTTTAACGGATCGATTCATGTTCATTCCTTGTGTACTGTGACGGACTGAGTGAGTACATAGTGTATGTTATAACATATGCAAAACAATCAAGTTGTAAAATAGTTTAATGGTTTCCAAAACAACATAGCTTTCAACAAAAACTCAGTGGCCTAGCGCCTGTGGGTAACCCGCAATGGAGCACGTGTTCGATGGCCAACGGCAGATAGAACGGGCCATTCTTTAGATGGAACATGGAACGGGTATAGCACTTTTGGCCCTTTTTGGGCTGAATATAGCCATTAAAGTCCCCCAAATGAGTCATTTGGAAGTGGTGTATGTCAAATATGTGACTGCTATTCTGTAGACACACGTTCAAGGTACCCTTATACCGAATTTCAGATCATTTGGTTGTAATACCGGGGCTCAGGATCCAAAAATCCATTTTTTGTCGAAAAATACCCCAAAAAACCTTCATAAAAATTTTCAAAGGCATGTATCAAAAAAATGAAAAAAAGTCTACCGCCATGCCAAATTTCAGGTCATTTGGCTGAATGATGGCGGAGTTGAATCCCCTTGACTGAGTGGCAGGAGGAGGTCAAGGAGAAACATGAAAGAACACAATATATTTCATCTATACCATGTGGTATGGACTGAAATATAATTATTGGCAGTATGTAGCATCTAAAATTATATCCTTGTCTGTAATCTGTTTTTATAAGTAGTATTGTACTATTCATGGACATGATTTATTGTCGTTTTCAGCCATCAGACAACCCAGCAGGTAATGCTGAAGGTGTCCAAGATACAGAGAGGCAAGGTTTGTAACCTTTCATAATGGAGCTGTGTACCCACTAGACAAATTTTAGGTATAGGCACAGGTGCAGATATACAGATTTCAGGTACAAGCAATTACCTGATCTACATGTAAACATAATTAGTTGGTATACAATAATCTGTAAGTTATACATGTGGCCATCTGTCTTTTTAGTTATAAATTATTGTTTTTGTATGAGGGTTTGCATATTGTAATCCAAAACTAAGAGTGTTTGAGTGTCAAAATTGTAATCATTGAGATGTACTTGAGCTATCTTTAGTGTAGAAAATAGACATGAAATAACATTGCAAATCTAAGATTCCTCTTCATACATTGATAGCTACAACACCAACATCAGCTCCTGCCGCTATGCCAGGTGTCCAAGTCATCAGCCCGCTCAGGAATTCACCTGCTGAGTTTAAGACGACTTCTCCACGGAGAGCAGCTGCTAAAGTGGAGAGTGATGACGACTCAGATGTAAGTGTCAAACTGTCCAGGTGACAGACAAGTTATTAACACTAGTGATTGAGCCTAATTTTTACTTCATACCAAGGGAGTAATTAAAGGTTGATTACATGTATTTCCCAATCATGTCACAGTGAACATGGCAGTCAGTGGAAAACCTGGTACTGCAGCTTCCAAAATTTTTTTTTTAGAAAAAAACAGAGGTCACCATGATGTCAGTGGAGGAATAAGGAATCTTCAGTTCAATTACCGGTACCTGGTGGCAGGAGCTTTCAGCATGATTTTTTTATGGTTAGATCTTCAACACCATGTTTATATATGCTTTAATGTTGATTGTGAGATGATGTGTCTCCCTCAGTGCTGCTCTATCTGCTTCGAGTCCTGGACAAACTCTGGGAACCATCGTCTGGCCTCTCTGAAGTGTGGTCACCTGTTTGGACAGAGGTCTGTTAATAAGTGTTATTACAGTTTACACTCACGGCTGTGTTTCAAATTCTGTATTCAAGACTGTGTTTGCTGTATGTAAGGTCATAGCAAATCAATTTTATAGCTGACACCAGCATGTGCATTGGCTTTAGCCTGTTAAAAGGAAAAGGAACTTTCGATCGCCTCTGGCACCGGTCCACGTGTGAGAAAAATGTGAAAATCTTTTAAGATATGTCATGCAGTAGACTCGAGGGTGCTCTAACAAGTGACACCAGTGACGTATCAAAGTGACCCTAGTTCTGCATTTGCAGAAGCGATGTCACTAGTACTGTGGTAGCCTTCAATGTTGACACATCTTGTACTTTTCTCAGTTGCATCGAGAAGTGGCTGAAAGGACAAGGGGGAAAATGTCCCCAGTGCAACGCCAAGGCCAAGAAGGGGGACATCCGAGTCATCTACGCCAAGACGGTGAAGATGGTGGACACGACAGAACGTGACCGCGCCATGCGGGAGCTAGAGAAGGAGAAGCAGCTGAGGCGTAAGGTTGAGTTGGAGGCGGCGCAGACACGGCTGCAGTACGAGCTGGCCCTGCAGGAGTGTAACAGGATCAGGGTCCAGCTGGACAGGGAGAGGCAGAGAAGCACACAGGCCAGGTCAGGGGGCACAGGTCATGTCCAAACTCAATAAAAGTGTTAAGAAAACACACTGACTAGTCAACCTCTTAAAATCTTGCCATCTGATAAGGACATTTTGTTCCTTTTGAAAAAGCCTTATGACCTAGCATTGCCTGCATGTCTGAGACATGATATAAGTATAAGTTAAATTAAAAACATGATGTGGTCTATGTTTAACCATGATCTGTAACCACACAGATAAGGTAGTTGGATGATCCCATATGGGACATGTACTTACTTCTCATGATGTGTCTTCTGCAGTGTGTCTGGTCCCAGCTCGTCCCAGGCGTCCTGTAGCCAGGCTAGCACCAGTCAACAGAGAAGACGCTACCAGTTCGACAGCTCCGTACCTTTGGTACATGTTTTTATCGTTTTTTCGCATTACTAGTATTTCTTCGGAGTACAATGGGAGGTAATTTTGATAGTTGATAGGAAGGTGAGAGTAAGTGGGCTCTATGTTTAGGAATTAGGAAGCGATGTGATTCTCAATTAAAGTACAGTACATCATACAACGCTTGGCCTCCGCAGTTCCAACACATTCACAAAACAATTCCCAGAGGTCTAAAATCTATGATTTCTCGTCAAATACAAGTTTGAAAAATTAGAATTATCTTCAGCTGATGTTTTACCAGATATTGCTACTTCACATCTTCTCTTTTCATCCATACAGAAGGGAGAAAGCCGTCTGCTGGGCTATGATGCCCAACACGGTACCCTGGTGGTGTCGCAACCTTCCCCCAATCAGCTGTTTCCTGGCTTTGGAGTCAAAAAGGTGCATGTACATGTCATATCTACATAGAAAAAAGCATGACAATCACTCTATAGATATTAATGACACATGCTTGGAATAAATAAACCAGTCTACAACTACTACTACTACACATTCTTGTGGACATTACAAAAATTCCTGTGAAATCCCTTGAATTCTTGCAGACTAATTACATACTAGTCTATTAGACTTGCCCGTGAGGTGTTGCCAAAAAATGTCTATACTTCTGACACTACAGGTGTAAACCTTATTCTCACAGGTCAGTGCCATGGACCTGAGGAGTGTCCAGTATGTCTCAGTCCACAGTAAGGCCATCAGGGACATCTGCTTCAGTGGCAGGGTGGACGGGCTGATGCTGACCGCCTCCATCGACAAGACGCTAAAGATAACCAGCCTCATGAGCAACACCGTGGTTCAAACGTAAGACCCATGATGCACTATTCAATTCTGATATGTTAAGGATAGAAAGAAATGAAAATGTGGTAGTTACAAGACTTTAACATTATTGGGTTCTTACCTCCTTGTACAGCGGTATTGTTTTAGGTGTGTGTTTGCATGTTTATTTGTAAATTGTAAGCTGAGTTAGCGCATGTGTGGGTAAATTCCCTACAGACCACAAAAGATAAGGCACAGGAAGTTAGGACCTAGAAGTTTCCAGCAGGAGTGTTGGAGCATGTGTGTGACAGTACATGTACACTAATTGTACATACTGTCAAACCTGCTCAAGAAGACCACTCAGAGGACTGATAATATCTGGTCTATGTAGACAGGTGTTCATTATACTAAAATTATACATACTGGATTCTTTATGCTCGTGCCAATGGGAAAAATTATCAAAGGGACTTCCACACAGGCCAGGTGGTTGTTATGTAGAAGTGGTCGCTTGTTGTACAGGTTTGACTGTTAGTAGTACAGTAGTTTTATTCCCTCTCTACCACCCCCCTCCCCCCAGGTACCACACCCCGTTCCCTGTGTGGGCCTGCTGCTGGAACAGGGAGGACAACAATTACGTGTACGCTGGGCTGCAGAACGGCAGCGTGCTCGTGTTCGATCAGCGCGACACCAGTAAGCACGTGGAGGAGCTGGCGCCCCCCAGGGCCAGGTGTCCCATCGTCGCCATGAGCTACGTACCACGGGATCCCTCATCCTCACTCAGGTGACAAATTTGTATTTATTCACATGTCATAACTTGTGTCAGTGCACTCGAGAGGTAATTACATGCATGGAGACATGCATGCATGCAGATATACATTCGTAGTACACATACAAATGTATATACATGTACATGCATGCAATGTTCTTGATAATAGCACTGGAAAAAGGTGAAAACATTGTATGGGTGATAAAATCTGCACTGTCTTTTATTGACGATCATCCCAAAAGAATGGGTTCTCTGTATGGGATACCTGAAGTCTAAATAAACATTCTGATCACGATTTATTGATCTTTTTGTCCGTCAGGTGTGGTGGTCTGCTGCTTGGGACCCTGCAGGGCGGCTGCTTCTGGGAGAAAACTTCTACCGAGTACAGACCTCACCCTTTACCCATGGAAGGTAAGTTGTCCCAAACATCCCATGTTTTATTTAGCACCATCCATGGCAGGTCAATGAATGTTAGACATCTAGTCTACAACGAATGTGACCAAACAGTAATGATCCAGCAGTACAGTAATTTTTCCCCTGTCCCTGTGTGTCCAGGTAGCTGTACCAGCCTGAGGTTTGAACCCAGCACTCGGCACTGCTTGGCTTCCTTCAGGCCTGACAAAAACCACAATTCAACAAGGCATCTGGTGAGTCGGGCTCTATAACTTATACCTGTGTTCATGTTGGAGAAGTGAAACAAAAACTGTGTTTATTTGGAGATTCACAGAACAAACGTTTCTTGAATGTTGTGTTGAGAGGAACTTCGAGAATTGCACAAGTGCTCGCCTGTCTAGTTCTAACAGGGCTTTTTACCATAATCACCTTCCGTCCTGTGCTGCAGCTGTGTGAACTGGAGAGCCGGCTTGTGGGTGAGGACGGGAGGAACCACTGTTCGTGTCACGTCATGCAGACGTTCTACGGTGGCTCCACGCAGAAGCTGCTGACACGGTCGGCGCTGTTCGCCAGTCCTGAGGACCCCGGGCAGCTCCTGGTGTGTGCGGGGGACGAGGCCAGCACATCTGTGAGTCTGCATTATTGTATTGCTTCTCCAACTGATATAGCCACATCTGACTGACTCAACATTTAAAGAAGCGCTTAAATCAGAAGGAGGGTGTCAGTTTCCAATCGGTGATAATGTTAGGAAGTAAAAAATGCATACTACATGTACTTCACAGTATAAGATTAATTATCCACAAGTCACCCATGAGAAAAAAGTGTCAGTTAGCTATGGAAAACTCTTCAGATACCATCTAAGCAATTTCTTTTTTTAAAATACATGTATGGAAAAATAAAACAGACAAACCCAAGAGAAATTGATGTTGCCATAGTGTCTTAAACTGATCAATCATTTTCACATCCAGATATGATATAACACACACAAACAATTGGTTGATTCACAAACTCCTTTTTTTGTCTAATGTCCAGGCACAGATATGGAGTGCAAGCACTGCTGCCCTGCTGCAGAAGATCCCCACAGACAGCCCAGTCCTGGACGTCTGTCCCTTCTCTATCAACGACAAACACCAACTGGGCGTGCTCACAGACAAACTGCTCAGGATATACTCCTGGACATAGCAGGGGTGGAAGAGGATGATCATTGTACACACAAGAAACTTAACAACTTAACAACACTAGAGCTAATATCAAAGTATAAATGAGAGTCCATTGTGGGTTTGCAACCAACCAGGCCATTTTTGTCCAGGCAAGAAGATTCTGCTTTTGCCTACGTCCTGCTCAAGTCATATCACAGCGTGGCATACAGATGTGATGATCCTATCCTAATTTTCTTACTACATGTACATGTATGTTTCCAATGATCTCTAGCTATACATGTAGAACATTTACCTAAGTAGAGCTGTGTACCTAAATTTTAGGCACATGGTATCGCGTAAGAACATATTGTTGTAAACATGACACTTTTACTGGTGTCAGTACATGTATGTTCTTTTTTCTCATTCTATCAAACTGAAAACATTCCAGCTGTTTTGCATGTGTCAAGGAGAATTTCCACATGACTGAAGTGGCAATATTCTAATCTAATTAAGAGAAATGTGGAATTCATTACAACTGTACATGCTTTTCAACAGCACCGAGATTTTGTGATTATATTTGCTCATGAAGCATTTTGATTGCAATGACTTGTCTCCTTATGAGAAAAGATTATGTCTGTTATATAACACCCCATACAATCAGCCTCTTCAAAACCCAGAGTGTTTTAGACAAACTAGGAAGCAATATGCTGATTCTAATTTCGAGTTTTGAAGAGGTTGATTGGATGGAATGATTAAGAAGGGATCTATTGATAGATAGTACATAAGCCTGTCATGATCAGACTTGTAAGAAGTATCTGCAACTGAAAACAGTGCAGTTTTATCATGAGTGTACATTGACAACAAACGTTAGAAGAAAAAGATCACGCTCAGTGCACTTTTTTATGCTAGAAATAAAGCTCTAAGATACTCATGCAATCGCTTTGTAACAGGTTTATTGAGACAAACAGTCAGATGATATGTTTTTATTACTTCCATGGATATACCAGTCAGAATCTTATGTACAAAAAGAGTTTTAAACATCATTACAAGTAGAAAGTGACATTGAATGGGCGAGTGGCTAGGCTATTGGACCCAAGATTGGGAGGTCAAGGGTTTGATTTCCATACATTCCTCACTAGTCTTTGTCCTACGGAAAGTGTCCTATGGAAAGTCACTTTATATGCCTTCACCCAGGCTTGAAATGGGTACCTGACTTTGGTTTGGGATGTAGAAGGTAGTGGAAGGAGAGAGATGAGCTCAGCCATCCAATACATGTACCATGTCATAGACACAGTGAATTATCAACATACTGCTCCAAGGCCTCAAAAAGGCTATGGGACCATTCACAAAACGTGTATCATACATGTACATGTATGTAGTCCTAGTATGCAGTTGCTCACTAACTCCATAGGACTACATGTATATGTATACAATTTTGTAGTCACATGCAAATTACTGTCATATATGTTATCTTTATTGTGCCTGTTAATCCTCTTTATTACCCAAAATTGCTACATCCACTTTACTCAGACTTTATTCATAATGATGATGCGTTTAAATGCCATGAACGTTGCTGAGATGTAACTGGTCAGTCAGCAATATTGCACAACATCTATTCTACCCTTTAGAGCTATCCTAGCCCCGCCCACCTCCGTAAAAACATAGAAACGCGAAATAAAAACGTAAAAATACAACTTTTTGACGACCATGCAGCCAGCTCTCCCATTGGCCAATCCGCTAATTGTCATGCTATCATTGGTTGAACCGCTAATTGCCATGCTATCATTGGTTATTGTGTTGGACAGTGTTAGGATCTACGAAAGACACTACTGTCTTCCAGTGTATTTATCAGAAACACCTCAGGATAGAGTAAAACTTAAAACTCGAACACCTCAACAATGTCGTCCCCGTCGTCAGTCGCTACGTCGACAGGGACCACGGCGTACCGGAGGCTGTTGGCGCGCTTCGGGAGTTTCCGCGGAGACGGCAGGGAAATAGAGATGTTCAGCCTTCCTTCACGCGGGTTGTCTTCCCGGGGGCTCGGCAGGTTGTCAGATGGAGGGGCGGGGGAAGGGCTCTTCTGGTCGTTTTGGTGCTCGGGAGTTTGCGGTTCGGACAAGACTGCATGGCCGTGAGTGGGAGACCGGTGTTGGAGGTTGGGGAGCGTCATGCAGTGGGCCCGGGCCATGTACTGCTCCCTGCGGAGGCCGTGAAGGTTGATCAGTTGGCACTGCTCCAGGACGCACATCTCTCGGTACGGCCTGCTCCCGGCGCAGTGGAGACACATCCGGACCGCCGTTTGTGTCCCCTTGCTCTGCCGCTGGCTCTTGTTCTTTTCTATCTCGTCCAGGACCTGTTGTAGAGCTCTCTGTCGCCGTCTGACCTCGTCAAGTTGTTGTTCCGTCTGTTCTTTGTCCAGCAGGGTCAGCTTAGTTTGTGTCTCCAGCCTCCAGCGCCGCTGAGCCTCCTCTGCCGCCTGTCTGTCCGCTGCGTCCGCCCTCCGCGTCGCTTCAATCTCCGCTATTTTAGCGCGCCTTTTCTCCTCAACTAAAGTTTTGTTTTCCATGCGGATCTTTTCCATCTCTTCAGTAATTCTTTCAGTCTCCTTCTTGGCTTGCTGTGCTATCTCTTTGATGTCCTCCATCTGCTGTTTGGTCTCCTCTAACTCTGCAGCAACTCTGTGGGCGCGATCTGTGGCGTCCTTTTCCCGCTGTTTGAGTCCCTCCTGCTCGCCCACCAGTGCCTTGTGCTTGGCCTCCAGCAGCTCGGCTTTCTCCGTGGCCAGCTTACGCGTGACGTACTTCTCCATTCGCAGCTCGTCACTGAGAAACTTGTTCTTCCTGCCCAGGTGCTCGCACTCCAGTTTCTTCCGAAGGAGTTCGTTGTGCAGGTGGTTCACGTTCATGGTCGAGCGCACTGCGGTCGGCGGGAAGTAACTTTTGTATTGAAAGGTACGAGAAGGCACTGTCTTCGGAGGCTTCGTTTGCCCGTCTGCTCCTTTAGCTACACTATTACTCGACCTGCCTGTGTCTTTCTCCATCGCACTTTTCCCGACACCGACCGCTGTCCGCTCTTCTCCCGTACGACTGCCGCGTGGTTTCATGTTTATCGACTTTAATTCTGTCGTTGCTAGGACACCTGGAATTGGAAACCTGGAATTAGGACGCGTGCCATTAGAGACATATCCTACCGTGTCATCATCCGTCATGAAATATTCAGTGACATCATTGAAAGCCTTGATACAAGGTAACAGTACTAGCCAGCTAGGAAACAAGTATGGCACATGCCTCAAGAGAATCAAGTTACAGACAAAATACGCTGTATAGATCCTTGCCTTGCAGGCTTGTATGGGAACAGTTTGGACAGTAAATGGTATTACGTCAGATAAAACCGAGAATTCCGGTCTTTCCGTGTCAATGCTTTCGCGTGCCTACGTAGCTTAATACAGACCCATACGTGTGCATGCTATTACTACATATGACATGAACATATAGAGACACACTTTAGACAGGAGACAATATTGATACATGCAATCTAACATGATTTGATGAAAGCATATATATGAACGGTCAGTGCCAGACCCTGACCGTTTATATGCTTTAATTAGTAGTAAATCATGACACCTGTCATTTTTCCATTGTGATTCACAATTCGTCATTCGTGAAATTCAAAATTTGTGATTAGTTTTCTAATTGTACATACTGACCACTCGTCGTATAGCATATGGCTGAAACCGGATGGGCTCTATTTTTGCCACACATTTGCTTGGTCCATTGAGTGACCATTTCAGGCTTATGTAAGTTTGAATAGGCATTGATATTTTTCATATCACTTTCGACATTTACACGGTATGCAGCCCGAGTTCCATCCGTAAACACTATACCCCACTCCGTTCTCCCCCGCTCTAGCAGGCCCCAGTGTTGTACCCTTGGGAAAGGCACTTTGCACCTTTTTCCTCACTTGGCTCAGGTGAAAACTAGAGTTCCACGATCTCATACCTTCGCCAAATGATGTTAGCTTTTATGATTAAGAAATTATATATTAATCCCCCTTATTATGCAAATAGGATCCTCAATTGCATGAATTATATCTGTTGATCATATTCTCCACCAAAAGACAGTCTTATCTTAACAAAGAATGCCATGATGAAATTTTCTCATAAATTATGCAAATGAGGTCCTAATTTGAATAAGTTTAAAGTGTAATAAGTATAAAATTCCAGGCAGTTACCACTATGCAATTATAATATTTTCTCATTAATTATGCAAATTAAGTCTTCATTTGCATAATTGATATCTACCTGTGTTTCTCTCATTCTTAATAACATGTCACAAGCTTGAACTTCCTATTATGGAATGCAGCGGATAAATAGAATTTCCTCATTAATTATGCAAATTACATCTATATTTGCATAATTGTAATATCATTATGGCAAGCATCACTCAAGCTACCTACATACCAAAAATCACGATGATCCATCCATCGGTTCTTGAGTTATCCCCCTTTAAACATTTGTCCATTAAACCCCCCTGCAGTTCTAGAGCAAGCAACTAGGGGGCTCAAACTCATGTCATTTTATCCCCAGCACAAGAGCTATCTACCATCTAAATTTCGTCACCCTAGCATGTCTGGATCATGAGATATCAAAACCGGAAGTTCTGCTGCAGTACCATGACAAGCCGCCAGGTGGCCCAAAATCTAATCATTTTGAGGTCTCATCAAGACCTACCCACCTACCAAGTATCAAGACAATCCATCAAGACCTTCTCTAGTTATCGTGTTGACAGACAGACAGACAGACAGACAGACACACACACACATACACGAACGCCCCTGAAAACATAACCTTCTTGGCGAAGGTAATGAGTACCTAGCTGAAGTTAGAGACGTCCTTTGGGATGGGACGTTAAGCCGGAGGTATCATGTTTGAGAAGAGCCACACCTCAAGCTTGTATTTATGTACAAAACTGGTGTGTTACCGTAAATAGAGGCAACGTTGTCGGTTATGCGAAGCAAACAAAACAAAGAAACATTTAACAAACAAACAAACAAACCTCTCTTACCTTATTCTTTTTCACACCCTACACGTTACTAGAATGTGCGGTGTACGTTGCCTTCGTTCCATTTGTCTGCCTACCTGGCCTTTAATAGTGGGACCACCGCTGCCTGTCAGCAAGTCTTGTGTAAGTAAATTATGCGCGCCAAATCGACATGTAAGTGACCACTCATCGACCAAATTGCTTTGAAAGAACTTCTGCTAACAACTAGCGCCTTGAATTATGGATGCCCAGTCCCATTTTCTTGCTTGTCACCCTGTCCCACGGGCAAAGAAAAACCCTTCCGCGACTTTCCCTTACCACGCTATCATCTGTGGAACCTCGTCCTGTTTAGTATACCATGTACCAGCTTCGTCCTTTGATTTGTCGGCTCAGTTTACATTGAACTTTATTGAATCTATTAACTTCAAAGGAAATTTGCATAGTTTGTGACCGGACGGTAGATATGGATAGAAAGTTGGTAAACCAAAGTGACGACCATGGACCTCCATAGATTGGATTTGCGTGCGAAGAGCTGGCCTAGTTTGTGACGGAACGGTAGATATGGATAGAAACTTGATACACCACCTAATAACCTAGAAGACGTACAAGATTGCATGGGTTCTCTTCGGATTGTAACTGTATGAGCAATCAAGGACGTCCTTAATAGCCTCTACCAGGCACCCGTGGGTCGCAAATTGGAGCTTCTCGATGGCCCTGGATCTTCTCTGGTATACTATCCCTATATTTCGGCCAAATTACTACTATTTTTCCAGCGATCCGCGGTGCCTAGTAGAGGCTAGTCCTTGAAGCAATGTTGTCTAGTGACTTTCTGGCCTCTTTGGGCTCTCCGCCTGATCTCCATCCAAGCAGATCATACGGTGGCAAGACAGTATCCATTGGCCAGAGGAGTGTCCATTAGCACTCCTCTGGCCAATAGATACTGTCTTGCCACCGTATGATCTGCTTGGAGATTACTAGTATCTCCGCCTAGTCACTGCAATTACTTGTACACAGAAATGGGCTGTTATCGGTGCACACACCAGTTCTTCCACTATAGTGCCCGGAAAAAAAGTGACGAAGGGGTTCCGATGGTTCATGTTTGAGTTTACATTTCTCATAATCTGCTGCAAAATGGGATTAGCTACTAACATGGCTGAAAAGTGTAAGAAGTGGCGTGTTTTGGGTGAAAATTGATTTCGGGCCCGAGACTTACTTCCGGGTGTCCTTCCGCCCTGAGCGCGGTGCTTCGGTTTGACCTAGTTTTGCCTTGTATGCGTTCTGGGGGTGCTGTAGCTATGCCTCGCGCGACGGGCTATTGTGATAATCTCAGTGTTAGGATTTTCTTTATACTTTTCTTAATAATACATAAGGGTTTTCTCTTTCCGACCATATAAGTCATATCGGTGGCAAAAATCTGGGTGATGGGTTTAATTCCACGTGAAAATGGCCAATTTTTGGCATCATTTTTCAGCGAAAAATTCTTTTTCCCCCTAAAATTTGCTAAAATGTGAGAGGTGAAAGAAATTGAAATTCTTTTGTTCTCGTAGCTAGAGGGATATCCTTCATTTGCAAACAGAGTGTTTTGGCTTAAGAGGTTTTTCCTGAAAGAGACGGTCGCTAGAGTTGAGGGTATGCAGAATCGAATTGAGACCCAAAATAAACTGGGGTGTGCCCCCTTATTGATGTAGAAAAACGCAACGATTCATGATCAGCCTCTCCATCATCTGCTTGGGTTTTCTACATTGTATTAAAAGTTTTAGATTCCTCTGTGCCATTTTGAGCCATGGTCTGTGTTGAGCGCCGAATGTGTGATTGATCTACTTTGATCTACGGTATAGGGGTCAGGGCATGCTCCCCGGGGAAATTTATTTTGACCGGGAAATTTTAACCCTCGGAATTTTAACCGGGAAATTTGTCAATGAAGGGGTGACGTGGGCGACTGATGACCAGTCCAACAAGGGTCTAACAACGGTTCAGTCAAAAACAGTAAAATTACAAAATTTAGCCTCTGGTGGAAACTACCCTGAGACTGGGTAGCTTGCTAGCTACCCTAAGGACAGCCTGGCTCCCAGGGCATGCTGGTGACGGCCACGCCTCATTACACGGTTGACAGCGTCACACGTGGCAAGGATTAGCCAGCAGTTAAGTATCCGTGAAGACATACGGTGGAGTGCTGCCGTCTATGTGTATGTAACTTGAGCACACGGCGATGTACTACAATGTACGTATGTCTGAAAAAAATAGTGCAATCAGAAAACGTTGCAATCTTTCCTCATAACATCTGCTTGAATATTAGAAGGACAGCATCTCTGCTCGAGCTCGTTGCAAATGCAATGTTTGAACAGTGCAAGGTTTTGGGACCTCCTTGATAATAGTGTAATCTCAAAGCAGATGCTAGGGCAATGATATTATAGGGTGAAAGATCGCAATCTTTTCGAGCTTCTCGAACAGTCCATCTATCTAGATGTCTGTATGGATTGTACCACAGATGGCTGCCTGTCACTCAGAGAAATCCGCAACACCGGCAGGCAGGAAACGTCACTCGATCCGACACCCCCAACATCTGCTTGGAGATTGGGTTTCGTGTTCCGACGTCACGTGATCAGCAGGCATAAACAAAATGGCTGCCCATGTTAGCGATGTTGTCATTCATTTGCAAATAGTCCGCCGATATTTCTCTTGAATCTACGCGAAATGGGGACGGAGGAGGCAACAAGTTGCTGATAGAGATACCCTTGACACATTTGAAGGTATGAGTTGTTTCTATATGGCTTTGTGGTCTAGATAAAAAGCGAAATGTGGTGGAATTCGGGGTGCCCACCCATGCCCCATGCATGTCAGGTTTCTGACCCGCTCAATCGTGATCATTCGTTCGATTCCAGGATAAATTATAATCCCCTGGTTACATCGTCTGCCCTCTCCGTGAAGATCTGTTGTGCTGATTTTCTTGGTTTTATTTATTTTTTCATACAACAGGGAAAGAAAGAAGCCGATGAGGTAAGGTTGAATTTATATGTGTGTGTATTATTGAAGAAACTGAAGCAAAATCCTGTCTGCGCCGGTTGTGCCACAAGCGGAAGTGAGTTCCTCCGTCTGTAGAAACCCTGGCCACGGCGGAAACACGGAAACAACGGCTTTCTCTCTTCTCAAGGGATAGCCTTTATGAAAAAAAAAAGAATACTTTGAAACCAGGGCTCAAATTAACATTTACTAAAGCCAAGTTACACACTGGGTGACCTAGTAGCCCAAAATTATGTTGGTTTCCCATCAGGTTGTCCATCTGCAGCATTTCAGGTTGCCCAAGTTCCAACACCATGATTTCTGCTTTTAATATGTACTTATTATACCTAAACAGAGCATCAGAAACAGAGGTTTATGTCAAGGTTTCATTTTGTCATTTGATATGTTAGAATATGATGATGATGATGATGCACATTAATAAATATGACTGATCGCCATGACGTCACAGCCAGTGAGGCAAAAAGTGGGTGGTAGGTGGGTAATTGCCTACCAATAATTTGCATATGCCTACCAATAATTGATGTAAACAAAAACAGTGATTGCTCGTATTCAGTTTCGTTTTGTCATTCGATATTTGATGATTACAATGAATGTTGGTGCACTGAAATTGTGTCTAATATACTTACCGTTAATCATATGAATTATGAAATTTCTAATACTCGTAACAGTAAGGGATATTTTGACACACACGACATATTGAAGAAGACATTTCCTTCATTTGAAATGAACACTTTTTCTATTAGACCTTGACTTGGGGCATGGGAATTTTCTTGTCTTTGATTTGGCTTGAATCTTTCTTTTATTTTCTTTAACTTGACCTGCCTTTGATTTCCCCAATTCTATTGACATATTTTCCTTTAGAGAAAGTATCATTTCCCCTCCTTGAATTCCATTATATGTCCATCCTCCATTTATACCACTGACTAGTAAGATAGTCCTTTGACCTGAGGTTGTTGGGTTTGTAAGTGTATACGTACAGGGTTGTTTGTTGAGCCTGATGCACTTGTGTGGCATGTATCAGTGTGACAGTCGCTGACAAACCAGCCTTCACACTACTGTTTTCGAGTCCTCCTACACACATATCTTACGTGGTTAGGTGTACTGTACTCAGTTACACACCCCGAAGCTCCTTTTATGTGTTTATGATACCAGTACCAAATTACATCATTTTCTCAGTCTCCAACAAAATACATAATACCTTTTGAATAAATTACTAGTATCATTCAGTGAACATGAACATTTAAACCAAATACCGGTATGTACCCTTCTGACAACACATGTCTGATGGTATTCAGCTTTAAACCATAAAAATGTATACTCCATTGTGGGTCTCCTACCGGTAGTAGCTTTCCTTTAGCTTTCCTGTAGTGTAATTGTAGGGTAGCCGAGGCTAGCGGGGTGAGCCGAGCTATCAGAGAACTGCACAAGACGAGATCTCACTCTAGACTGACTCCTGCCACATGGCCGGAGGTACTTTATTCCTGTTAATGAAGACCATATGTCTTGACCGCCCGTGCGGTCACAGTCTTATCTACTCCCATATCTACTCCTAACATTGGCCCCCCCTTACAAAAGGAGTCGTCCCCGACTCCGCAGCGGGAAACAAAACAATAACAACAACAAGAGTAGACGGGGCATATCATGCTGGGAGCTAGTGTGTTGGGTTCGAGCTAATTACTTCCGGACGGAGATACAGTGAGTAAGCACGGATCAAAACAAGTCTATCTAAAAAACAACAAAACTGGTACATAAATAAATGTAAACAAATCATACTGCGTCGAAACGAGGGCACAAAAAGTCGCTAGCGGACATGCGAAGCGAATACATAGTACATAGTAATACATATAAAAAAACAAGAATACGCAATATAAGAACGACGCTCAACATAATAGAGATATGATAAAGATGATAAAGTTCGTAAGAGAGGAGTGTTCATTCAGGCATAGGTGTCAGTGGTAGTCAATTAACAGAGTTCATGCCTAGAGTTCATTAGCCGTAATCGAAGTCCATAAACCGGTCAGGGGGTCGACTGATGCGGCCGGATCGAGTTCTGATGATGTGCGGACGCTGAGCTGGCTGGGCAGGAGCGGCTGGCGGCGGGGCAGGTGGAGGTGGAGGTGCTGGCTGGGCAGGTACTGGAGCAGGTGCTGGCTGGGCAGGTACTGGAACAGGTGCTGGCTGGGCAGGTACTGGAACAGGTGCTGGCTGGGCAGGTACTGGAACAGGTGCTGGCTGGGCAGGTACTGGCACAGGTGCTGGCTGGGCAAGGACTGGAGCAGGTGGATCAAAGTGATACTGTTGGATGAAGCCTGCGTAGCCGGGGCGAGGCGCATCAGGTGGTGCTGGCAGGCGGCGGCGGGTAGGGGCGATGTAGGGCTTCAGTCGGTTGTGGTGAACGACCTGTAGACGCTGGTTGCCGGTCTCAGGACGGATGCGGTACAGGATTGGTGTCGGAGAGCCGGCTGGCAGGGTGGCGGTGATGACGAACGGACCGGTCCAGGGCAGGCGGAGTTTGTGCTGAGCCGTGGGCGGGTGGTGAAGCCAGACACGGTCGTCAACTTGGTAATGGTGACGGCGTACGTGGGGGGTATTGTACTGATCTTGTGTCTGGTGGGATTGGGCTATAGCTTGGCGAACGGAGGTGAGGGCGGCGTTGAGATCGGCGAGCTGTGTTGTTGTGGCGGGTAGTTGGCAGGCGATATCTACAGGGAGGCGTGCTTCCCGGCCGTGAACAAGGAAGTAGGGTGTGAACTTTGTTGTAGAGTGTACGCTGGTGTTGTAGGCCAAGGCTACATGCGGGAGGAGGAGATCCCAGTCGTGTTCGCGACCGGCTAGTGCTTTGGCAAGGATATTCTTCATAGTCCTGTTGAAACGTTCGACTTGGCCGTCACCTTGCGGGTGATAGGGAGATGTTCTGGTTTTGCTGATTTGTAGGCGGGCACAGAGTTCGGCTACCAATTGTGATTCAAACTGCGAACCCTGGTCAGAGTGGATTTGGTCGGGTACGCCGTGCTGGCCGACGAAGTCACGGAAGAGTTTGTCAGCGACGGTGGCGGCGTCCTGTTTCGGGATTGGGTACAGGTTCACGTACTTAGTAAAGACATCTGACACCACTAGGACATATTTGTTCCCAGCGGATGACAGCGGCATGTACGTGATGTCCGTCGCGACAACTTGGAAGGGGCGGTCGGCGGTGATGTGCTGGAACGGCGCACGCAGGGACGGCACAGGCTGACGGCGCTGTTGGCACGGTACACACTCACGACAGTGACGGGCTACGTCCATCGTCATTCCTAGCCAGTAGAACCTTTCCCGAGCGCGGTGTAGGGTACGGGAGGGCCCGAAGTGTCCGGCTGTGGAATCGTCGTGCAGGGCGGGTAACACGTGGCAGGCCAATTCGCGTGGAATCACTAATTGCGGCTTCACGGAGGGGGGTGAGTTGACTGGGCGGCGGTACAGGAGATCATCAGATAAGAATAAGGAATCAAAGTCCGACCAAAACAAAGTCAAGTCTCTGTGCTTACCGCGTACAGCAAGGGCGGGAGGGCGACCGGCGGGGTCTTGTAGCCACTGGCGAACTTCTCTGATGGTTGCGTCGGCTTGTTGTGCAGCGCGAAAGTCAATGGCCGGCGCGGTGGCAAGTTGAGCGGCGGAGCAGATGGCTTCTTGTAGGGGATGCTGGTGACTGTGGCAGACACGGGTGTCGCGTACGACGTCAGGTGGCGAGGCTGGCACAGGAGCAGATGGGTCGTCAGCGGAGATGACGTTAGCAGAGTCACGGTCGTC